TTTTTTTTTTTTTTCTTTCTTTCTTAAAACAAGGTCTCGCTAGGTTGCCCAGGCTGGTCGCAAACTCCTGGTTTCAGTAATCCTCCCGCCCAAAGTGCTGGGATTACAGGCGTGAGCCACGGCCCCCAGCCTCGTCATCTACTTTTAATTCAAGTTATCTATTTGTGGGTTTGTGTGTCTTTATAAGGAACTGTAAATCTTTTTTTTTTTTCCATATAAAATAAGGAAAGATCAACACGTAGTAAGCTGGGCTGCCCGGTGCCACCCACGCACATCATGTGCACCGCCCGTGTGCAGAGATGCCTTGGGCGTCCTTTCATGTTCGCAGCACTCAGACCATGAAGTTTAAGGGCCCGTGAATTCGTATCTCTGACGTCCTTTGAGCTTGTAGGAGAATGGTCCTCTCTTATTGCACGCTTTCTTGTTGTCTGCAGGTTGACAGCCGGGACTGGGCCCTTAACGGAAACACCCTCTCCCTCGACGAAGAAACAGTCCTTGATGTTCCTGAGCCCTATAACTACGTATCCAAGTACTGTGCCTCCTTGGGACACAAGGCAAATCACTCCTTCACTCCAAACTGCGTCTATGACATGTAGGTATCACACCCCAGGCTGGCCGATCCCTGCCTAGTCCCCGACTTGCAGGAGGGCTTGTCCAAGGTGTTATCCTGCTCCAAGTGAATAACCGAGGGTTGGGTCCGCTGTCCTAAACCTTAGGAGTATAGCTTCAGATTCCAAAGCTAAACCTCTTGGCCAGGTAAGAAATGCAAAAGTGGTTCGCAAAGTAGAAATGCTATGGGGATAGTATACCTGGTGGTTTCTGTTTTTCTTAATTTAAAATTTTTTTTATTCAGATGGGGTCTCACTAGGTTGCCCAGGCTGGTCTTGAACTCCTAGGCTCGAGCCATCCTTCTGCCTCTGCCTCCCAACGTGCCAGAGTTACAGGCGTGAGCCACCATGCCAGGCCAGTGGTTGCTGTTTTATGGCTGCTTTTTTTTTTGTCCTTCCATTTTCTTATTCTGGAAAATTAAGGATAGTGTTATTTGAATAATAGTAAAAATTGAAATTACTCTGCACAGTGGAGAAGTCTAGGGATCCCTTTTTTTTTTTTTTCTTGAGTTGGAGTCTCCTCACTCTGTCGCCCAGACTGGAGTGCAGTGGCCGGCAGCCTCGACCTGCTGGGCTCCAGCTATCCTTCCGCCTCAGCCTTCCAAGTAGCTGGAACTACAGGGGTGCACTACTATGCCCCGCTGATTTTTGATTTATTGTAGAGATGAGGTTTCCCCAAGTTGCCCAGGCGGGTCTCGAACCCGCGGGCTCAGGCAATCCATTCATCTCAGCCCCCCAAGGCACAGGATTACAGGCTGAGCCACCGAGCCTGGCTGGGATCACTTTTTTTATTTTTTGAGTTGGAGTCTCAGTCTGTCACCCAGGCTGGAATGCAGTGGCACACTCACAGCCACCCCAGCGTCAACCCGCTAGGCTTCACGGCCACCTCAGCATGGACCTGCTGGGCTCCAGCAATCCTTCCGCCTCAGCCTTCCAAGTAGCTGGAACTACAGGCACGCACTACAACGCCTGGCTAATTTTTGATTTATTGTAGAGACAAGGTCTCACCAAATTGCCCGGGCTGGTCTGGAACCTGGAGGCTCAGGCAATCCCAAAGTGCTGAGATTACAAACTGAGTCACTGAGCTCGGCCCTAGGGATCCCTTTTATGATACAAAAACAAGGAGGAAAATAAAATCCTAAACCCAGGACATGAAATCTCAGTGTTGGAAGATACCTATAAAATCAGAGTCCCAGGCTGGGCACGGTGGCTCAAGCCTGTAATCCCCCGGCACTTTGAGAGGCCAAGGCAAGAGATTTGCCTGAGTTGAGGGGTTCGAGACCAGCCTGGGCAACTTGGTGAGACCTCGTCTCTACAATAAATCAAAAAATAAGCTGGGCGTGGTAGCGCACACCTGTAGTTCCAGGTACACAGAAGGATCACCTAAGCCCAGCAGGTCGAAGGCTGCGGTTGCCATGAGTAGGCCACTGCCTTCCAGACTGGGTGACAGAGTGAGACTCCAACTAAAAAAAAAACCCCCAAAAAACCAGAGTCCCTCATATTTGATCATAAAAAAGAATAAAGTAGTGACATATGGTAGGTGTGACATGGATGGCAGTTGAAAACATTGTGCTAAGTGAAAGAATCCAGTCACAAAGGACCACACATTGTGTTCTTCCACTTATGTGAAATGTCCAAAAAATAGGAAAAAAAATCAATAAATATGAAAATCTACAGAAAGAAGATTATGGTTACATGGGACTGGGGCTGGGGTGGGAAATGTCTTCTGATGGGTACAGGGTTTCATTTTGGGGTAGTGTAAATGTTCTCAGGTAGGTGTTCTAAAATATTAGACAATGGTGATGGCAGTACAGCTTTGTGAGTATTTTTAAAACCACTGAATTATCTACTTTAAAAGGGTAAGTTTTATGGCATGTGAATTTAAGCTGTTATGTTTTTAAAAATCAAATAATCCTATCCCCTCTCAGGGATTAAACCTCTTGGAAACTCCGTTGAGGGAAGCTTACTATTATCCACAGAGGGAGCTGCCTAGACAAATGAACTAGACGTCATGAGATTAGCTTTTGGAGTCTGGGTGTGGTGGCTCACCCCCACAATCCCAATACTTTGGGGGGCTGAGGCTGGAGGATTGCTCGAGTCCATGAATTCAAGACCAGCCTGGGAAGCAGAGCAAGACCTTGTTTCACTGGGCATGGTGGTACATGCCTGTAGTTCCAGCTACTTGGGAGGCTGAGGCGGGAGGATGGCCTGAGCCCGGGAGGTTGTTGCTGCCGTAAGTTGTGATCCTACCACTGCCCCCTAGCCTGGGCGACAGAGTGAGACCCCTGACTCAGAAACTAAAAAATAAATTTTAAAAGAATTTAGCTTTTGGGCTCTGATGACTAGAAAGTTCTTGCTATTGACCCCAAATGAGTTTCTCCGTTAACACCTAGGCTTTGGCCTTAATTGTCTTCCTTTCTTTGTGCTGTGTCAGATTGTCTTCTGCATGGTAGACCTAGAAACATTTTAGTGGCTTTCACGTGCCCCCTGAACGTTCTCTCTCTCTCTCTCTTTAAAATTTATTTATTTATTTATTTTATTGTAGAGACGAGGTCTCGCCAAGTTGCCCGGGCTGGTCTCAAACCCGAGGGCTCAGGCCATCCTCTCACCTTCGCCTCCCAAAGTGCTGGGGTTACAGACCTAAGCCACTGAGCCCGGCCTTCTCTCTCTCTCTTTTTTTTTTTTTTTTTTTTGAGTCAGGGTCTCACTCTGTCACTCAGGTTGGAATGCGGTGGCACGACCACAACACACAGCAGCCTCCACCTCCTGGGCTCAGATGATCCTTCCACCTCAGCCTCCCAAGTAGCTGGGACTCCAGGCACGTGCCACCACACACGGCTATTTTTTTTTTTTTTTTATTTATAGAGATGAGTTGTCACTGTGTTGCCCAGGCTGATCTCAAATCCCTGCGCTCAGGCAGTCCTGCCTCAGCCTCCCAAAGTGCTGGGTCTACAGGCCTATGCCATCACACCCAGTTAATTTTCTGAGATTTTTGTAGAGAGGAGGGCTCGCAATGTCACAGGTTCTGAAGGTTCTCTCCCCAAAGCTAAGCATCTCTGACTGTTCTCTAAAAGATGCAATTGGGAGTCTTGTGTGTGTGTGTGTGAGTCAGAGTTTCACTCTGTCTCCCAGGCTGGAATACAGTGGCACACTCCTGGCCACCGCAGCTTTGACCTGCGGGGCTCAGGCGATCCTTCTGCCTCAGCCTTCTAAGAAGCTGGAACTACAGACACACACCATCATGCTTGGCTAATTTTTTTTATTTATTGTAGATATGAAGTCTCACCAAGTTGCCCTGGCTGGTCTCGAACCCATGGGCTCAGGCGATCCTCTCACCTTGGCCTCCCGAGGTGCTAGGATTATAGGCATGAGCCACCGCACCCGGCAAACAATTGGGAGTCTTGGTGCCACCATCACGGATCTCCTGACCTTGACCTGGGAATGGCAGTTCTTCCTGGGCACCAAGGAGCTGTGTGCATGGCAACCTCTTTGGACAGCATGCAGTCCCTGAGTCGCCTAGCTCGTTAGCAGAGGCAGGATCAGATCATGTGCCTTTAATCTGTAGGAAAATCGCCAGGATTTGGAGGTTCCTCAAGAATGTCCCTTCCTGAATCCGTAAAATGGCTTAAACATGTTCCTGGCAGTGACTCATTCTCCTTGGCAGCCGGTAACAAACACTGAAGCTACAACCTGTGCTTAAAGGGCGGGTGGAAATGGCAAAGGACATGTGTCATGTGAAATGAAACTGACACCGGGATTAACTCCAAGGCTTTCATGGCCAGCGCAAATTAGGCCAAAGCATCGTTCCAAGCTGCACACAGCTTCACAACAGCCCTCTAAAGCATAGTAACTAACACTCATAAATGCTACTTAGACTATTCCTCTAAAACATTGCTGGGCGTGGTGGCTCATGCCTGTAATCCCAGCACTTTGGGAGGCTGAGGCGAGAGGGTTGTTTGAACCCAGGAGTTCTAGACCCATCTGGGCAACATAGCCAGACCTTGTCTTTACCAAACAAACAAACAAACAAAAAAACACTTTAAATATAAGCTGGCAAGCCTGTAATCCCAGCACCTTAGGAGGCCGAAGTGAGGGGATTGCCTGAGCCTACGGGTTTGAAAACAGCCTGAGCAACTTTGGCAAGACCTCATCTCTGCAATAAATCAAAAACTACGCCTGTAGTTCCGGCCACTTAGAAGGCTGAGGCGGAAGGATCACCTGAGCCCAGCAGATCGACGCTGGGGTGGCCGTGAGCGTGCCACTGGGCTCCAGCCTGGGCGACAGAGTGAGACTCCAACTTAAAATATGTGTGTGTGTGTGTGTGTGTGTGTGTGTGTGTGTGTGTGTGTGTGTGTGTGTGTGTTTAATATATGAGTTGGGTGTGGTGGCATGGTCTGTAGTCCCGGCTACTCCGGTGGCTGAGATGGAAGGATCGCCTGAGCCAAGGAGGTCGAGGCTGCGGTGGCTGTGATCATGCCACTGCACTCTGGGAGAATGAGACCCTGACTCAAAAAAATAGATAAGTAAATAAATAAAACTAATTATTTAATTTCATTGCAAAGACATGATTTTGCTCACCACAGGAAGGAAAACACAGGAGACAAGAAAAGTTTCCATTTGTGCAAAATCAAGTCCCTGTACTATATAGGTTTTCATCTGCTGATTGTTGTTTGTTTGTTAAGTTAATTTGCAAGGCCAAATCTTAGTTTTGGTGGGGATGGGAAGATTACTTGAATAATAACTAAAATTTGGATACCCAGCCAGGCACGGTGGCTTACACCTGTAATCCCGGCACTGTGGAAGGCCAAGGCGAGAGGACTGCCTGAACCCAGGAGTTCAAGACTAGCCTGGGCAACATGGCAAAACCTCTTCTCTATAGTAAATCAAAAAATTAGCTAAGCATGGTGGCATGCACCTGTAATCCCAGCTACTCAGGAGGCTGAGGCAGAAGGATCACCTGAGTCTACGAGGTTGAGGCTGCAGTGAGCCATAATTATGCCACTGCATTCCAGTCTGGACAACAGAGGGAGGCGCTGACTCAAAAAAAATTTACATACACATTTTGGCATTTATTTGTTTTTAAAATCCTTGGTTGTGGTATATGCTTTAGCATAAACAAAGCAACCCTTCCACGAGCTCTTTTTTTTTTTTTTTGAGTCTCACTCTGTCACCCAGACTGGAGTGTAGTGGCCGCTCCCGGCCACCACAGCCTCGACCTGCTGGGCTCCGGCGGTCCTTCCGCCTCAGCCTTCCGCAAGCTCTTTTAACTGCAATCTGATACAAATGTCCACTGACAAATGTAGCTACTTTCCTAGCTAAATGCGGGTGACATGGAGACAAGGGCCCCCCATTTGGCCTGGAGGCTTGGTTGGCTGCACATTGTGCGGCTGGTGTTTACTGAGCCCTCACTTGAGGCTGGTGCCAATGCTCATAGCCTGATGTGTGTGATCTCACTTAGTCCTCCCAGCAACTTGGTGAGGCCAGTGCCGGCCCCAACCCAGATCACAGGCACAAGACACAAGTCACGGGCACAGTGTTAAGTCTCCTGACCATCGTGCCTTCGTGACGCCTTCGAGTGTCAACACCCGCTGGGCGCAGTGGCTCACACCTGTGATCCCAGCACTTTGGGAGGATGAGGCGAGTGGTCTGCTCGAGCCCAGGAGTTTGAGACCATCCTGGGCAACACAGCGAGATCTCATCTACCAAAATTTTTTTTTTTTTTTTTGAGTTGG